GCTTCATGATCCAGAATGAGTCGGCCATCAAAAATAAAGGCAGGTTTCAGCATCTTCTCATAGATTCTACTGTAGTCTAGGGTCTGAAACAAGACATGTGACTGACATTTATTGTATTCAATTCATTAATCTGGATTCAGCTGTGCAACATATGTATCCATGTTTGTAACTTTTTCTTGAGAAATATACTGATCAAAATTTCAATTTCAGCTATTATAATACTACAGCACTAAAGAAATCTTTTTAAAATATTTGATTGAACTAAGAAGAACATCCTCTTTAGTTCCATAGCTGAGATAATTTAAAAGAAATTCAGTTTAAAGGATATGCAAGACCGATAAATCTATATTTTAGTGTGGATGCTCCAAATCAGTATTACTGAAATTTAAAGGAGACACAATAATCTTACTGTGAATTGGTCCCACTCTGTACAGATAACTAAGGCATGAGTTCCATCTGCAGCTTCATATGGATCTTTGTATGTTGTTACTAATTCATTCACTGTCAAAGAATAATGACAGATACAAGCACATTGTGACATATATATCGAGGATATTTTAAAAACTGACTATATTCTTAAATATATTATTAATTTTTTTATGAAAACAATCAATGACACAAGATTTTTTTTAATATGTTCTATATAGAACTGGTCTGCATGCAAACGAGTCAGTGCTGCTTTAATGTTTATTTTTATTTCACTTTACAAGTCAGAATATTTCTTTCATTATTGGAATATTTTTATACCTCTTTCTGGATCTTCACACATCATAGGATTTGTTAATTCACTAAAAAAAAAAAAATAATAAATTGGCTAAAAAATATTTATGGATAAAAAGGACAAACCATACATATTAATCTTACCAGGTAATTGTTGGTCAGTTAGAACTATAAAGCAGTAAAATACCCGGTATTGGTATACTATAGTAACTTGTTTATTTCATTAAATCAACAACAAAATTACCTAAATATTTTCTTCTCTGTGACTTTGGGGTCATATATTCTCAAGTTAGCACCTTCGTCCATTAAGTACTTGCAAACATAAATTGCTGCCGACTCCCTGTAAATGAAAACCTTAGAATCACATATGCAAAAACAAAACAGCAAATACACACATGCAATGTGTCAAGGTTCCTGTCAAATTTGAATTGCAACTGAAAAACCAGAAGTCTCTGTCGAGACTGTAGCTCTACTGGTTTGTACTTATAATTAAAGAAGAGAAAGTAGCAGTTGGGACATAAAACTTTAAAAAAGCAATAAATAAAATAATGATCCTTGATTAAGCCTCTTTTTTTTATAAGACTGCAATAAGACTACAATTGTAAGAGTAGCTTTAAATAAAATTTTACAGAATTTTCAATTTTAGTTACCATGGCAACATCGTTCATCAAAATCAAAAACAAAAACTGATAATTATGTATATCAGTGCAGTCTACTTGCATGCCAAATTATATTATAATTAAACTTAAACTGTAGGAGGAGTAGCATTTTAAAAGAATTTCACAGAAATTTCTATTTTTAGTAACCATGGCAAACACCTGTAGTCTACTTATGTGCTAAGTTATATTGAAATCAGACCAAACCTGTTGGAGGAGTAGCATTTTGTAAGTATTTCATAGAAATTTCTATTTTTAGTAATCATGGCAACACCGTTCATCGAAATCAAAAACCGATGTACAGAATTATGTATCTTAATGTGTTCTCTTTGTGTGCCAAGTTATATTGAAATCAAACTAAAATTGTAGGAGGAATAGCATTTTAAAAGTATTTCACAGAAATTTCTACTTGTGTGGCAAGTTATATTGAAATCAAACTAAAAATGTAGGAGGAGTAGCATTTTAAAAGTATTTCATAGAAATTTCTATTTTTAGTAACCATGGCAACACTGTTCCTCGAAATCAAAAACCAATAAAGCGAATTATGTATCTTATGTAGTCTACTTGTGTGCCAAGTTATATTGAAATCAGACCAAAACTGTAGGAGGAGTAGCATTTTGAAAAAAATTGTTTGCAGACAGACAGACAGCTAGACAGACGGATGGACGACGGACGCATTACTATCGCATAAGCTCCTCTGGTCTCTGACCAGTAGAGCTAAAAATCTGGCTTATCAGTTTTTATCTGTGATTCCAACACTACTTTTCCACTGGAAATCTTTTAATCAAAAATCAAAGGGCAATGCAATATACACTGTACAGTCCACCTCACAACAGGAGTAGGGGGGTCCACTCATGATTGGTTTCCTGTGTTACAGATACTACTGCTGAGTATGTGAATTTCAAGTGATGGTGACAAGCATAAAATTGCTACTTGAACTATGGACACATACATGTAATAATATTTTTTTTTCTATGTTACATGCACAAATGAATTAAATCTTATCTTAATTGATTTACATCTACATGTATGTCCATGAATTTTAGCTATGTTGTTTTGTTACATCATCATCTTTGGTATAAAATCATTATATCTTTGTTTGAATTATCACAAAGGGCTATAACCCTTTCTACATTGCAATTTATTCTGAGTATTCTGGCACTGATTTAATTAATATTTTGTTATTTACTCACATAAAAAAATAAGACAGGCTTAGTCTGTATATAAGCCTTCTTTGTAGGGTATATCAAGACACTACCTTCATCAAACTTCAAGCATCAAATATAGTCCCATTATTTTGACCAAAACTTTACATCTCAAGCATTCCAATATGATCTTTTACAGGTAGAAACATGAGTTTGAACTTCACTGACTACAACATTTGAATGCTCACATCAAGAAAAATATGAGTTTGAACTTGAATTACTGAGCATCTGCTCACATCAAGAAACATGAGTTTGACCTTAAGACTTGCAGTGTTTTAATCAATTCTCACCTAGTATCACCTGTGTCTTTTTTGAATGAGAATCCAAACACTGCAATTTTCTTATTGGTCACTGTGTTAAACAGACACTCAATGATTCTGTTGGCAAATCGTCTCTTCTGATATTCATTGATGTTGATGACCTGAAAGGTTTAAACAGAAGTCTAGAATTTAGGGCTAATACTGTAATGAAAAAAGAGTAAATTCAAAATTTTTATCTCAGGGATATAATTAGCTGCATCTTTTTTATCAATTAGCAAACAGAAGAACTGAAGAACACTTCTATATGTTTTTTCTCTCCACTACTTACTTGTTGCCAATAATCTGCCACCTCGGGTAGGTTCAGACACTCACCTGTTGCCAATAATCTGCCACCTCGGGTAGGTTCAGACACTCACCTGTTGCCAATAATCTGCCACCTCGGGTAGGTTCAGACACTCACCTGTTGCCAATAATCTGCCACCTCGGGTAGGTTCAGACACTCACACAGGTAGACCATGTTAAGGACATCCTTCTGGAAGCAGCTACCACCAAAGCCTGAAAATCCACCAAAGCCTGTAATATGTGTGCACTCCAATCACTCATTGGAGTCTTTAGTAAGTTTCCAATTTAAAACAACTTAAATAGAAGTGCTTTAATTAGCAAATATCAAAGTGAATAAAATTTAACATTCACTCAGAGCTGTGTACAGTACTTAGTGACTTGAAAAATACATCAAGCGCACTGTTTCAGTTTTTGTGAATATTTGCTCCAAAAAAATTAATCTTTGCATCAAAAAAGACTGTGAATGGATATACAGTGGACCTTCAGATATCCGGACGCCAGATATCTGGATGCTTCAGTATCCAGACAATTTTTCATCGAAAATTGGTGATTCAGTTATCCGGATGCTTCATATATCTGGACAAATTGACTGGGAACCAAAGCATCTAGATAAATGAGGCTCCACTGTACAGAAAATCATCACATTAAATGTCTTCCCTGTTCCTGATTTCCTTTCTTAAATGTAGCTAATCATGACCTACCCACACTGGCTTTCAGGAACTTATTGCCTATCCTTGTGTCAGTCCCCACTGCATGTGCGACCTCAGTGACGTCTGCTCCCGTCATCTCACAGATGGCTGACATGGCATTAATACTGGAGATTCTCTGGGCTAGGAATGCATTGGCTGCCTATAGGTGAAATTTCATATCAATCAAAATTTTAGCAATGTAAAGTTTCCTTCATATCATGACCATTCAAATGAAAGTGCCTTGTACAATACCTTTAAAAATATTTATAGATCAGTAATAAGTCTTACCAGTTTGGACAGTTCAGATGACCAAGTGTTCATTGTGATGATGTTTTCCTTCGGTACCCAGTGCTGATAAATCCAGCACAGAGATTCCACAGCCTCTCGTCCCTCTGTTGTCTGTTCTCCACCAATCAGAACTCGATCTGGGTGTAACAGGTCATTGACTGCTGTACCTTCGGCAAGGAATTCTGGGTTGGATAAGATCTGGTGGAAAAACAAGAACATTTGAGATTTTCTGAAAGGAGATAATGAATTACATGTATTGAGGAGGCAAAGGCACATCTCTCCACACCTTAATAAATTAATTGCCCCCTACTAGTTTACTAGTATGAGCCCCTATAATTCTATTTATGAGACACCTGTTAATGTACTCTTGTTCTATGGTTAACCTTCAGTACCTGGGTATGTTTTTTACCTGATATTGCACTCCTGTCCTGTGATTGGCCTTCAGTACCTGGTATGTGTTTACTTGATATTGAACTCCTGTCCTGTTATTGGCCTTCAGTACCTGGTATGTGTTTACTTGATATTGAACTCCTGTCCTATGATTGGCCTTCAGTACCTGGTATGTGTTTACCTGATATTGAACTCCTGTCCTATGATTGGCCTTCAGTACCTGGATACATTCGTTTTTGACCTGATATTGCACTCCTGTCCTGTGATTGGCCCTCAGTACCTGGGTATATGTTTTACCTGGTATTGCACTCCTGTCCTGTGATTGGCTCTCAGTATGTTAGATATACTTTCGGCTGCCTTTACTGGTACTGTGCTCTTCTCGACCACTATCTTAGACTGGTTAGCCACCTCTGCTATCATTCTGGCTGCAGACTCCACATACTTCAGATCAGCTGCTCTACCCTATCAGAATTCAAAACAGTGATTTAAACAAATTAAAAGAAAACTTATTAAAATTATAATTAATATCTTTATTAAAACTTTCTTTTTGTTTGTTTCTACTTTGTAGAATAATAAATAAATTCAGCTATATCACTTAAAAGTTAATCTTTACACCCTTATTTGGTTTGGTTAAGAAAATTATATCCTGGAATATTTTGTCTAAGATGGCTTACAATGTGTACCGGGTATACCAATTCAAGTGTTAGTTAGTTTGTCTTAATTAGAAATAATTAATCCCCTACCTTACCAAGTCCAAAGTTTTTAGTTGGGGTGTTGACACATATAAAGATAAGCTCTGCTTCTATGATAGCTTTTTTGACATCTGTTGAAAAAAATAAATTCTTTCCTCTTCTTCTGTGGACAATTTCGTCAAGACCAGGCTAATGTAAAAAAAAAAAATCTAAAAGTCAATTAAAGGTTTTATTCAATTAGCTAACATTGATTCCTTATTTGCCAGGAATACATGAAATGACACTTACAGTCATGTTTTTGCGCCTCTATTCATTGGAGAGTTACAACCTCGAAAATTGTGTATTGCAAGAACACATATTACGTGATAGGATTGTTGATTACCTGTATGTTTCTTTTTTAAATGTATTGATTCAGCAATGTAAAATTAAAAACAAGTAATTTTTTTTGTGTGTGGTGCCTTATTTCCAAACTGAGTCTGTATTCAAAGTATCATCTTCACTAGCCAAGCGTTCCATTCACTTACTCTCATCAGAAGATTGTCATCCTTGGCTAGTGGAGGTGACAAAGTGCAAATATATTCAAGTACAAATTCAAGACAATTGTTCTCAAGTTATAACAAGATTCACTTAGCAAAATATGTCTGTATCATAATAAAACAAGTTATGGAGACTACATTAGTCCACTTTGTTCATACACTTAAAATTCCTTCTCCTGGTAGCTTTCCTACATACATGTCTCTTTGTCATTGAGAATGTTTTGAAATGTCACAATTCCTTCCGTGCAGCAAGGAAAATCTGTTTAATCGTTAAGTAGAACAACTTCATTTGAGAACTTCTCTTACTAAATTATATAAATCTTCAAATGAAAGCAGATTTATTATCCATACTGTTTAAAGTGTATATTGTACTTAAAAACAAAATAACTGTTAATTTATCTTACCTCGTAAATGGGTAAATTGTCTGAATTCCATTGGTTGATCCTCTCCTGACTGAGATCTGTTACGGTGACCGTCACGTCGTGACATTTGTCTGCTATGATGGTGCACGTCGGTCCCCCCACATACCCTGCCCCTATACAGCAGATCTTGGACAGGGTCATGTTGGCAAACAACCTGAAAATAAATCAGATTTAAAATTCAGATAATTTTGTCTGAAATTCATACTAAATGTACATGATGTAAACACGTACTTCATCATCAGCCAACAGAAAATCACTATGCTCATGACACTTTGCCTTATAAATTTATTTCAAAATACAAACCAGAAATTTAAGAGGAGAGAACTTGGCTGCCAATGGCAAATTTAATGGTATTTTGTACATGAGAGTTTAGAAGTTCAAAAATTTAAGAAAATATGACACCTCCTTTTTTAAAAAAGATTTTTTATTTTTTTTAAAAACTTTTTGTTATCGATCCATTTACATGGTTAAAAGTCTCCATTGCCTAACTCTGCATGAGTACATGTACAATATGTTCAACTCAAATTTTCATTAAAAACACATTACACATTCCACTTACTTGTATTGAAAATTATTCATCATAACATTTTCCAGTGTTCAGATCAAGTCAAGATACAAATTATATAATAATAATGATAACACTCAACTCTTGTTCTCAACTTTTGTGTAGATCATAATGCTAGAGAACATCAAATGATAAATCTGACTACACGACTGCCTCAGGCAGTGAAGCCTATTGAAGCATTAATAGCCCTAAACAGGGTAGTGTTAACGGCTTGATGATTTGCTAAATGCTCTAGCAAAACATTTAACATGGTTTGGTAATCCATGTTCAACATTTATGATACATAATACATTATGTAGACCACATGTTGCAGGCAATCTGTAGATCCTATTTCAAATATATTGATCCAAGTATCCTCATGATCCTTGTTGAATACTTTAGTGTCTCTCGATCAGTAATTTTCATTATCATGATTATTAAAAGTTGATATATTGTCACAAAATATTCTTTAAGGATTGAATTTTTATTTATCAATCTGACAACACAAAACCATCTTCAATGTAAGTTTTATCATATAATCATCAAGATAATTCAGGGCTCAACATTACGGCACTGTCAGCACATATTTAAAGACTGACACAGACTATAATAAAGTTTGGTCCGGTCTTGTTTATTTTGTATTATTTCGCTACCACAACTTATCAAGTAAAATTATAACAATTTCTAGAAATGTGTGCTTTCTTTTTTGATTGTTAGACCAGGTTTTACTTTCTTTTTTTAGTCCTGTTGAAAAATAATTATGACAAGAATTGATTAGGAAAAATTTACTTGTTTCATTGGGGGCTGTGTTACTTGATTTGAACAAACTTGAATCTACACTACCAGAGGATGCCTCCACATGAGTTTCATCTTTCCTAACCCAGTGGTTCTAAAGAAGAAGAATTTTAAAGATTTTCCCTTTGGTATTCCTATGTCCATCTGCATGGGTAATTCGACACGCTGGAGGATGCTTCCACATGAGTTTCATCTTTCCAAGCCCAGTGGTTCTTCAGAAGAAGAATTTTAAAGATTTCCCTATGTATTCTTATATCAAACTTTGACCCCCCATAATGGCCCCACCCTACCCCTAGGGGTCATGATTTGAACAAACTTGAATCCTCACTACCTGAGGATGCTTCCACATGAGTTTCATCTTTCCTGGCCTAGGGGTTCTTGAGAAGAAGATTTTTAAAAGATGCCATTAATTTTTCACTAATTCATAATTATCTCCCCTTAGAAAAGGGCATGGCCCTTTATTTGAACAAACTTGAATCCCCTTCACCCAAAAGATACTTTGGCAAGTTTGGTTGAAATTGGCCCAGTGGTTCTTGAGAAGAAGATGAAAATGTGGAAAGTTTACGACAACGCTAATGACGATGACAGACAATGGACAAATTTTGATCAGGAAAGCTCAGTTGAGCCTTCAGCTCAGGTGAGCTAAAAAGGTCTCTTTAATTTCATTGTAAACAAGAGGCCCATGGGCCTTATAGGTCACCTGAGCATTATGCAACAACTTTCCAGTGATTTAATTTGATTCATGTTTTAAGCCAGATGCTATGGCTTTCACAATTTTGAAAGAGGCACCATTGATCATCATAACAATACACCTAGCAGTTGCTTAGTTTGTTTACTTAGTACCCATAGGCAGGTTGGGGGAACAAAAAATACATTTCAAATAATCAGTATTGTAATATTCAGCAATAATCAGTAATACCCATATCACACATGAACCCCTGACCCTTAGGCCTAGATCCACACATTGCACAATTTTTGAAAAGGCACCCTTGCTTTTCAAAAATATTTGATTAATACCAAGGAGCAGATCTCAAACAATTCATCCAGTTTCAGTATATAAGTACACCCCCCCCCCCCCTTTGGTACCCCTGACCCTGGGGCCTTGAAATTCACAGTTCTGGAAGATTAGGGTCCTTGCTCATCATAACTACATAGGTAGTTCATCTGCTTAATATCCAAGAGCAGAGAAGAAAATTTTCAAAGATTTAATGTATTTTCACTATATAATCAATAGAGCCCCACCCTAGCACTAGAACCCCTGACCCTAGGGCCACAAAATCAAAATTTTGGAAGAGGTATTCTTGCTCATCATAACTATGTACTTAGTTTATTTAATTCCTAGGAGCAGAAAAGAATTTTTTTCAAAGAATTCATGTATTACAGTATTTTCATTATATAATCAATAGAGCCCCACCCTAGCACCAGAACCCCTGACCCTGGGGCCATAAAATTCAAAATTTTGGTAGAGATACTCTTGCTCATCATAACTATGCACTTAGTTAGTTTATTTAATACCCAGGAGCAGAGAAGATTTTCATAAAATTCATGTATTTTCACTATATAATCAATAGAGCCCCTCCCTAACACCAGAACCCCTGACCCTAGGGCCATAAAATTCACAATTTTGGTAGAGGCACTCTTGCTCATCATAACTATGCACTTAGTTAGTTTATTTAATACCCAGGAGCAGAGAAGAAGATTTTCAAAGAATTCATGAATTTTCACTATATAATCTATAGAGCCCTGCCCTAACACCAGAACCCCTGACCCTGGGGCCATAAAATTCACAATTTTGGTAGAGGCACTCTTGCTCATCATAACTATGCACTTAGTTAGTTTATTTAATACCCAGGAGCAGAGAAGAAGATTTTCAAAGAAATAATGCATTTTCACTATGTACTTATTTAGCCCTGCCCTAGCAATAGAACCCCTGACCCCAGGGCCATGAATTTCATAATTTTGGTAGAGGACTCAATGCTGATTACAATCATGCAAACAGTTTGACTGCTTGATGTCCAGGAGTAAAGAAGAAGATTTTTAAAGATTGCATTAATTTTAGTGGTTTTTGCCCCACCCCCCAGGCCCCAGGGGGGCAGGGACCATGAAATTCACAATTTTTGTTCCCCTTCACCCATAGATGCTTTTTGTGCCACATTTGGTTGAAATTGGTTCAGTGGTTGCAGAGAAGAAGCTGAAAATGTTCAAATGTTAACGGACGACGCACGACGACGGACGAAAACAGATAGCAATAGGTCACCTGAGTTTACTCAGGTGACCTAATAAAATTTGATTTTTATTGCATGCAGGCTTTACAATTTGTTATAATTCTTTTCCCCTTTCTTGTTTGAAGAAGGTAACGGAATCAGCCAAGGTTTGCCGAAAGCTCTCGGTCAGTCTACGGAGATGACAGAGCGACAACTGTGGTAGGGCTAATGCCAGTAAAAAGCTAATGTAGAAATACAAAATCATGAAATTCAAAAAAATTATACGGCCTGATAGGTGTATCAGTTTACTGTTTAAGGTTGTTGCTAAAGATGGTAAGGTTTTTTTAAAAGCTCTACTTGTTTATCATTGAGTCAAATGATGACCAATGTTTAAAAATAAAATACAACAGTACTACAACTATTAGGCCATTATTTACACATTGCAGTGGCGGATTCAAGTTTTCAAAATTTAAATTAAGTTGTCAAAATTAACGTAAATCACAGTTTCGTCTAGAAAATGTAAATATGTATACTTGGTAGACCTCATTTTTACCCTACAAAATCTCTAGAATCCAGGAGCTTCCGGGGCTTCGCCCCCTGGGCCCCCACTAGGGCTTTGCCCTGGACCCACTGGGGGCCTCAAGGCGGCCCCCAGATCCCTTGCTACCTTTGGCGCCCCCTATAACTTCAATTCCTGGATCCACGCCTGCATTGAATATTGACAACAGATTTTTACGTTATTTCTTGAACATGACAAGGATTATACGGCAGGTGTGACCGTTAAACAGTGGATGCTCACTCCTTTATGGCACCTGATGATGCCAATCCCACCTCTGATGGGTGTCCATGTTTGCGCTGCCCCTATTTTGTATTGTTTAAGGGACTTTGAGGTTCAGTACTATTTCCATATATTAAGATTTTAGAATGCATTTTTATAATGTGCCACAGATATGAGTTTACTTTATTAGTCTTTCAATATAGGCCTATGATATGAATTTTTATAATTCTACTGTTCTAAGAAAGAGAAGGGTACACATCCATTCGTTAGGGGCCTTTTAGATAGAATGTTCTATCGTTAAAATGATATTGTCCTACGGACCCGGGTGAGGGCCTGTACCGAGACACAGTTAGATTATTCTAACTAGGGGCCTTTGATCCACATTGCTCCTAAAATTGGATCGGGTAACAATTCTTGGAAAGCGAGGATGCCTAGTAAATACCAAAGTTGTTAATCTTTTCTCAATTTAGGTCTTTTAGATAGAAGTCGGCAGTTTTCAAAGTTCACTTCACTGAACTTTACATTCACTCAAATACATTTTTTAAGTAAACTGGGTAACTATGGAATTGTACGAATATTTTAACGCATTTTGTAAATTTTGTAAGCTCTATTTACCAATTCAACACTTTCAACAATCAAACATTACTTACCACAGTTTGTCAGAACATAGATGGTCAGAACAGAAAAGCTATGTACAGTTGTACTCCCTTCCACTTTCAGATTATTTCCAAAGGGGTGAACAGGTCTTTAAATTAGAATGACTTTTTAAAGTTTCAAAGATATAACGATATACTATTGAAGTCAGATATTGTATTTTTCTTGTTATTCAACTTTGAAAAATCAGAATAAATAATTAAAATAATATAACTAAAAAACAATGGTCCTTTATAACCTGACTTCCCTATCTCAATAATGTGATAAACCGGAAGTCAACAATCATGGCAGCCAAAAGCAAAGGGAAACAACGTGGAGAGGATCTCAAACAAGAAGATGTCTTTCAAGCTGTTGTTATTGCTGATAGTTTTAATATTAGATTTGCACCAATCACAAAGGAAAAACCTAAGGTGGAAATTAGTTGTCTATATCCTACTGTTTACAAAATTAGATGCAATATTGAAACACTGATGCAACTGTCATGAATAGTTGGATAACGAGCCCGATTGTTGTTCTATGGAAAAATCTCTTAATTTATTTTTTGAACAATGCTAAGTAATAAATAACCTTTTCTGAATTTTTTGGCTTCAATCTCAAACGTAAAAAATTACAAAGTTGA